ATGATGATGATGATGATGATGATGATGATGATGATGATGATGATGATGATGATAATGATGATGATGATGATGATGACAACTTATTTTTTCTTTTTTTTTCTTTCAGATGACAGGGTATAAGAAAGGAACCTTCAACTGTGAAACTGCCCAAGATCCAACCTTCAAAACAGAAAGGTCAAAACAAATGGATTTTGACAGAAAAGTGTACATTATATCCATGTAGCTGTAAAAAATAGGATGCATTCCATATCGAATAAGTGAATTCCAATGTAAGTTTTGCGTCTGTATCACTCAAACAACAATCTAGAACAAACAGGAGAAACTCGAATTGGAACCACTTTGGCGCTCAAGTTCTCTGTGCCATGATGCAAAACGCGGAAAAATCCGAAAGCTGGGATCTTCAAAGATATTAAGTGCATTAAATTCTCTGATCTTTTTCCAGTTCGACTACGATTTACTTTCGTTTGAATTTGAATAATTATGCGTCAATTCAATTCAAGTCACTATTTAATTTGCCTTTAGCATTTGGACTTTGTTTATTAACTTTGTGCTTACAATTTTACTGCAATAAAGGAGGTGACAGATAATCGGGCAGGATGGAGGACGCTGTTAATACGTTGTGTGTGTTAGTAATCAAAGCTCTCTTGTCGTAACACGAACCGACGTGGATGTTTTTGAAAGTACTGTACAAGCTTTTGGAGGACAGTTTGTGTGTTCCGGGACTAAGAGTGAAGCTTAAATTTGTGAACTCGTTGAGTGAAATTCTCCACTGTTTGGAAGCAGCATTTCCCCCCCTGAACTAGTGGCTATGCTTTTGGTTTTAGTATCCAAAGACGTTAGTTCTATTCCCGAGAGGGGCAGTCTATCTCCTTTAATATCTTCTTTTTGATAAAAGAAGAAGAAGAAAAACAGCGACAGCAACAACAACAACAACAAGAATAACAACAACAACAGCAACAACAAAAGGCTTAGCTGAGAGTAACAGACTTGCAAGTCTGAGGGGTAGGAAGAGATTTCACTGACATACATTCACATCACGACTCGGAAAGACGCACCTATCGGGTAAGCCTTTTATACGTATACCCCTCGTGGGGATAAAATATCGCAAACAGTTACTCGTTACAGACACAAATACCACGTGGAAGAAATATACCACGAACAGTCTACCATTACTATTATATCACATCTCGGTGAGGAAACTACTGCCTTTAGTTAACCCTTACATACGCAATCATTACGAAAAACAAAACAAAAAAACAACAACCCCTTATATGAACATACATAACGGAGAGAAAAAATAAAACTACTGTTTGTTAACTTCCATTTGCTTAGACATCACGAAGAAGAAAACGCTACTATCAGTTGACCCTTATACGCGTAACAACAACTGCCGACAGTTAATCAGTCATTCGCCATGCCACCTGCAGCTAAAGCGTATCAAACTCTGACCTTGACCTTCACCTTGACTGTGTTGTGTACCCTGACCTTCCAGCCGGCCCTGCCCGCCTCCACCAGCGTGCACGCCGACGAGTATGACGTGGACCCCAGCTTCACCATCTTCACTTACCACGTGCCGGACGACGAGGACATGAACAGCACCTGGGATGACGTCTTCGGGGTCACCGGCGGTCCCATTGACCCTTACCTGGGCTACGACCTTGGAGGGGACGCTGGTGGCGACGTCATACACAGGGAGGGCTCTCCGCCCAGTGGGGGTTCACAGGGGTCTTCCGCCGTCTTGACTCCTGACACGGAAGTCGATATGGTAGAACTGTTTCTGGAGATGGTGGAGGAATACGAGGAGAGTAAAGCAAAGTGTAAACCTGGCACCCAGCATAATTTAGGCTCAGGAGTCATCAAACAATACGGTCTTAACCGATTCAAGGCGCAAGCTTTAGTCGCTGTAAACCGCGCCAACTTACTCACGCGCATTTGGAAAAATCCGACAAAAGGTATCGTGGACTCGGAATACCTTTTCTATTCGCAAGTCCGGAATATTGTGGAGGGTGATCCGGAAATATTCGCCGCTGGGAACTGTTATGATCATCTTCAGTTCCAGGACTACTACCTGTTCTGTCCGTACGCACATCGCATGGAGGATGGAAGGATCAACGTGAAGGATTTGTCCTTGGAGTACGACTATCTGGGCAACACATCAGAGTTTTTCTTCAGTGCCCGGATGCACACGAGACACCAAGAGAACTTCAACTTCAGCATTGGTAAGTGCAACAGATACTTATTGGTTGTTTGTGTTTGTTATGAGGCGGCTGGGTGGGTTGTGGAGT